ATGATATATCTGTGTTTTCCATCCTATTTGAATGTTCAAAATATATTTCATGTTTGAGAATATGTCCCTTTTACCATGAGTGGATTACTCTGTTATTGAGGGCAAAATGAGCTCCATGATTTTGCATTACTTTTTATATAAAATCATTCATGCTAGAGATAGTCATCTGATCGAACATATCATATCAAACTAAACAAACAAGCACAATGAGCTGTGCTTAAACCTGAACAAATACTCCAATAAATTTGCACAAACCAGTTGACACATGCGCTCCCGGGAGGTTTAAAGCCCCCTGGGATTCTGGTGATCCAGCTTCTCTTTTCACTCAGGCTCCTAAATGTAACTATAAGTAATAGAAATGTTTTCATATATTAGACTCAACAGTTGAGTGAACTTTTGGGCATCGTGTTTTCTCGGATTTTCTTTTTTGTTACTTTTTCTGACTCATTCTCAGACCTTCAACAGATTTTTCCTGCGGACTTGTAAAGTTGTATCTTTTATTTATTTATTCATTTAAGGAAACCTTGAGGAAAGATACAACATAACTGGCAGCAAGTGGTGAGAGCTGGTGCACGGGCCGGTGTGAGACTGGCTCCAGAAGGAAGCGCAGCTCAGCACTTTGCAGCTCATTAAAGATAAAAGTGATGCCCTCAGTAATCAGGCTGTGACGCAGGAGGCTACAGAATGAAATCCACGAGGACTGAGGACTTTCAAGTGAAAAAAGAGATGCATTTCTTTTCTGCAGCGTATCCCAGGCTGCAGTTCATGTTGCCTGCAGCTCCTCAGAGCAGCGAGAACACTGACATCTAGTGCTGATAGAGGCCAAGTCCTGCTGCAGGACAGGACATGTCTGATAGAGCCTGCAGTAGTTACTTATTGTTTCTTGCTATTGATTATTGTTATTATTGATAAATGCATTGTGGATTTGCTGGCAACTTTATTGAATTCACATCTGGACAGTAGGTTGAGTGGAAAAAACACAAACTGTAGGGGTTAAGGACCAATCAGGCGTTTATCTATTGCAGTAATGGTCTTGTCTCATATACAATATTGACAACAATGCATCTCAATCAATTTGGAATATGTGCAGGGTGCAATCTCAATGTAAATTGACAGTGGGGGTGCTCTTATGTGATTTGGATCATATATAAACAACTCATTTGTTCACAATCTTAGACAACATGTAGTGATGACAATGATAATGACTACATTTTGTCACACTTCCTGTCTCAGTCCTGGACAGATGTCTACCAAATGGATGTGACCACCACCAGATGTCCTCAATCTTTCCCTCCATCATTAGTAACCTTACATTCAGCAGCATATACATCAGCTAGCTGCACTAGCCACCTGTCTGTGCCCCATTCACCTACCACTGGTTCTGCAAGGAACTGGCCAGCTCCTGTTCCTCAGCTGGTTAGCATCTGACCCACTAACCTCCAATGTGTTTAATGCATCATCCTCGGTCCAGCAACAGCAAAGCATCTGCCGTCAGTCCAGCAACTGCTGTCGACCAAGCGTCACCCCTGCCAGCCTCCAGTTTTAATTCCAGTTTTAGGCTTCATGAGCTGCTAGTAGTATTGTTTGCTAGAATCACACTTCCTAACCTCCTGGCTGAACCATCCTCAAACCTGCCCACACCAAGCCCAGTGCAAGGTGTTCCATTATCTGCCCTCCAGCTACCAGCCTCCACCAAGGTTTCTGGTTTCCAGGCCTGATGGAGATCGAGAATTCAAACTGCTGTCCATTTCCTCTGCACTCCAGCAGATGGCTGCAGGACCTGATCTCCGGTCTTCCGCCAGTCCTGGACTGCGCTTTGAACCCCAATCTCCTGCTTGCCTTCCTTTGGGCTTCCTCCTTCACTGCTGTCCTCCTGAGTACAACGTCCTGTTGTTAAACATTCACCATGGAAGCCGGATCATGCTTCTAAATGTTTCTACCTTCAGTGCTTCAATGCTCAAGCCTTCATTGCAGCCCTCCAAAGACATCCCGCCCTTCTGCCCCATCCTTCAGTCTCCATCCAGAGAAGCTCACACCATTTGTTCCATCTCTTCCCAGAAACTCTCTGAAACATCCTTGTTTTCCTCTCAGGTCTAGAGGCTCCCCAAATGAATACTTCTGCTCTGCCAGTTTAAAGCCCTGAGGTCTTCTGGTGGACTCAGGACGGTTCTCCTTTGTGTCTCTGTTCTGTCTGGGAGGTGTTGCTCAAAGAGATGGCAGGGTGGTGTTACCTGTTTTTGTTCCGTTCCTCTAACTGCTTGCCTGCGTCGTGGTCCTCCCTGTCTGTGCTCCACAAAGCAACACCACTTCATCTTATCAATCCTAATCAATCAATCAATGTTTTAAAGCCACAGTGTAAATATAACATCAGCATATGATGCTCACTCTATCCAGTCAACCTTTAACAAAATAATGATTTGAATTATTATAAGAGATAATATTTTACATTATACAGACAGCATACAGTGAAAAGCACTACTTTACAATGCATCATTATTAACTATACATTTCCTTTTTTATATACAATACATTATCTTGCTTAACTATGGAAGTAAGAGTCATGTCAAAGGAAATATTAAAGACACTAACCTTGTTATATTGATCTTAGAATTATTAAGACATGACTAGTCTGACTCACCGCATGTAGACTGTGGAATAAGGCTTCCATTAGTCACTGTATCCTGGCCAAGATGATTGTGATTGTTTTTTTGTTTTTTAAATAAAGCAAGAGTGCTTTTTCCCCCCGATGGCTGAACGATATGGGAGCAGCCAGACCATTCTCTTGCTATGACACAGCACTGAAGAGATAGATCTGACTATGTAAGAGAAAGCATGGCTAATTCAAAAAAATGTTTCGCAGGACCATGAAGGGATCACATAAAGAGGCACATTTCACTGTGACAATAACTTCACGTGACAATGTAATATGAGCTCTCAGTCATCATCTGTAGAAGAAGAGGTGAAGATTAAGTCACAAGTTGAAAATGTATTTTACTTCAATTAAATGAAAGGTTACAGTTATCAATACTTTCACATATTCCATGTAAAACATATTCAGGGATTTATACTAAGACAGAATGTCTCTGTAGACCAGGTGCAGGATGTCCAGGCTCTGCAGGTAATCGGGCAGAGTCTAGAGAGAGTGAAGCAAAACTCTGCAAATTGCTGAACAGATAAAATGCATCTTTAATGAGATGATTATTAAAATGCACGATACTGGTAGACCCATTCTTTATTGTTTTCAATTTTATTGTGTTTCCACTACATTTGGTATTATAATAATTGGCCCCATAACAGATCGGTGCAAATTAGGCTTCTTTTGCCTCGAGGCGATGGAGCCATGAACAGTGCAGGAGACCACAGACAAAGGGTCCTTTTTTTCTACCTGAGGATAGGAAGAAAAAAAGTAAAAGCGTCAATAATCTACACAAGTAGAGGAACTCTCCCAAGGTTCTGGAGCCCTCCGGTGTATTATTCATATCAGCTATTGCCAGAGGACTCATAATTGACCTATGCAC